CACGGCACCACACACCCCTGGGCCCAGCGCTCTGTCCCAGGCAGGAGGCCCGGAATCCGGCGGTCAAGACCAGGCTTTCCCTGCGGCCAACGTCCGGGTTGTCAGGGTCATTGCTGCCTCTGCCCTCATCTCTACTGGGATGGAAACGGCCCGGGCGCCGCTGGGGTGACTGCAGCCCTTTCTCAGGCTCCACAGCAGCAGGGCACGGTGCTCAGAGGAGACACAAGGACTTCCAGGGAGAGGTGGAGCTTTGTTCCTGGGCTGGGCAGGAACCCTGCCACCAGGGGCATTTGGGATCTCTGGTGGGATCGCAGTCACTTAGCCCTGCGCCAGTGTTGTGTCCTGCACCGGGGATTGAACTGCGGTCCCAGCACTTGCGAAGCAGGCGCCGGAACCACTGAGTGAAATCCCCTGGCCCCTGTCCTGCTTTTGATAGCAGTGTCTGGCTGTGTGACAAAGTCTTCATCCTCATGAGGACTTTACAGCTTCTCTCAAGTAACCCAGTGTTCCGGGGAGGGAGCCGCCAGGCCCCGAGAGCCTGTGGTGGGTGGTGTGGCAGAACACTTCTAGTTGGTGAAGCTGGGCGGAGGTCTCCTGGAGTTCACTGTCTCTGCAACTTTTCTGTGAACGCAGACTCTTTTCGCCATAAAACTTTACCCGGTACCTGGCTCTCCAGGGCCTGCCCCTCCTGGTCACATTTCCTGAGCCTGTGTTCTGAGGATCAGCTTGGGCTCCCCAAACCAGAACCCCTTTTCAGAAGACTCCAGGCCTGGGCCTGGACCTCGCAGTGCCCAGGGTGTGTGGCAGTGCAGCTCTCTGGCTGCGGCTTCCACTCACCAGCCTGGAAGGTCACTGTGGGAAGGGCAAAGTGGCCCAGCCTGCACTGTCATGAGGGCAGGAGTCTGCAACGTCAAAGCCGGGGGGAAAGGCCCAGGCCCAGGTGTGCTGGCCTCAGGCTCATGGGGCTGGACAGAGAAAAGGCCTGAGCGTGCCCACCGCTTGGCAGGCCCTGTGGTCTGGGGTTCTCAGGCTGCCTGTCTGCCCCAGAGGAGGAGAAACTGCTGGCCCCGAGACAGAAGGGCAGGCAGACACCTTCTCATCCCACCACTGCTGGCCAGAGGCTGGGCACTCGGCCAGGGAGGCTGCCCTGGGGCTTCTGGGGACCAGAGTGGGGTGGGGGCGGCAGGCTGAGTTGGACCCAACCCACTAGCGAAGTGGGAGGAGCTGGGGCCAAGGCATTGCCTTGTCTCCTCTGGGCTGCTTAATGTTTCTGAATTTGCTCTGTGCTAGTTTGCGTGCAGGAGGCTAGGTTGGGGGAGAGGTGAAGATGGGGGAGAAAGGGCAGCAGATGGACCTGCAGGAGAAAATGTCCAGCAGCCAGGTGACTGCAAGTGAGGCCCGGAGAGGGGCAGCCACAGAGGACCCCAGAGAAGGACCTGCCCACCTCGGCCATGACGCAGCCCATACTCCACAGGCTGGAGTGACAGTGCTGTGGGACTTCACACTCTGGCTAGGAAAGCAGGGCCCTGGTGGCACTGCCACAGGCCTGGGCACTGTGGGCTGTCCTCAGGCCCAGCACCCCTGGCTGGCCTGCCTTTGGGTAAATAAGTTTGTCCAATGCTCAGTCTGACCACAGGGCCCCAAGACTGGGCGCCTGCGCTCACAGACGGCCTTTGTGTGGGCCATGAAAGGCCTTTTCATCCCACCCTGGCCTCCTGCCCACTCAACCTGGCTTGCCCCCCACCTCGGCACTGCGGCCACCGGCCCTAGCAGGAAGGGTGGCAGCCTGGACCTGGGCCTCAGCCTCAGGGCCACTCCTTCCCTCCTGCCAGCCGCAGGACCCCAGCCCGGGTGGGAGGTGGGGGCCACAGCCTGGCGCACACCTGCTCTGCGCTTCCCGCCCGGACCCTTCCAGGTGGAGCCCAGACACCCAGGACAGGTGCCTACTTTCAGTAGGACACAGAGAAGGGGGAGGCCACGTGAGGTCCCTCCTGGCTGTCCCCAGAGTCTCCTATGGTGGCAGATGTAGCAGCGGTGGGAATGGTGTCCTTGGGGCAGTGCCTCTTCCGCCATGGGTCAGTCGGGTGCTTCCTGGCCTGTGGAGGAGGTTCTGCCCACCCTGGGCCTGACAGAGGGGCTGGGACACTGCAGCCCTACATCTCCTGAGCACTGGCCATCCCCAGAGCATGGCACATGTGGACTGGTGAGGCGGATAGTGTCACCTCCTGTAGATGAGAGGGCACTGAGAGGTGACAGAGGCCAGGCCAAGCCAGGAGCCACTT